CAAGTTTGGGCTCACATACACTAGGGAGAGAGTTGCGATTCACTTGGGAGAGGTGAAATAGACAAAACAAGCACAAAACACTACTCAAACACTACTGTACACCAAGATATGAGTTGCGATTCACACCCAAGTAGAAAAACAAGTAGGAAATAAAGAATATGAGAGAAAATGACAAGTTTTGAGCTCACACACACTAGGAGATGAGTGAGGAGGAAGGTGGAGAGAAGGGTGAGGGGGAGGAAGAGGAAAGGGAGTGGGAAGGAGAAGGAGAAGAGGAGGAAGAAGAAGAATAAGAAGGGGAAGAAGAAAAAGAAGGAGAAGAAAAAGAAGAAGGAAGGAGAAGAAGAGGAGGAAGAAGAAGAAGGGGAAGAAAAAAGAGGAGGGGAGGAGAAGGAGAGGAAGAGGGGAGAGAAGAGAATGGGGGAAGAAGAGGGGGTATTTCTTCACTTACCCTTTAGATCTCTCACTCTCAATGAAGCTCCCTCCTTCTTGGCTATGACTTCCTTCTCCTACAAGTGTTTCTTCTTCCTCTCTCACCTCCTCCAAGTTGCTATGGGCTCCTACCACTAAGACTAGGGAGTCCTCCCCTCTAGGAGGGCTAATGAGACTCCTCTTAGTCTTGCCTTCCTCTCCACTAGCCTGGGAGCTATGGCGGATTACCTCCCTTACTACCACTAGCTTGTAGAGTCTTCTCCCATTAGCTCACAACCTCCTCCAAGCTTCCAAACTGGCAGGGGTTTTCCTCACTACTCTTCGGATGCCTCTAGAGCTCTCACGGGCTCACTTGGGCAGCATGGGCACTCCTCATGCAAGTATGAGTGTGGCGGACTGAATCCCCAGCTTATATAGGCTGGGAACAGCAGTTCGGCCAACCCTTGGGCCCTCCCAAGTGCCCCAAGGTGAACCGGGGTACCCCCTTGGCCAAACTTCACCTCTAGGCCTCTCTGGGGGCACCCGGACCTCCTTTTGGCCAGGTACATGCAGTCTGAGTGGTTGGTACCAACTCGGCCTACGCCTTGGGCCTCTTTTCAACCTCCTACCTCTTGAAAAATGTTGCCCCCTTGAATCCAAGGGCCAAGTGGTAGCCTACTTGGGAGAAAAAGACCTAGTGGTTTTTTTTCTCGATTTTTCCAAGTTTCGGCCTCCCTTGGGTAGGCCGAACCATTTTCCCAAGTGGCGGCACATTTTCAGCCTTGGATTAGGATGAAATCCAAGGCCACCAGTATTCGGAGCTAACCCATGGTGGTCCTTGGATCAATTTTGAGCCTATAAGCTCGATTTTTCAATTTTTGGTGCATCTGGCTCTCTTTTTGGGCCAAATGCACAGTTTCGTCTTTTTCTTCTTTTTGTTTCTTTCCTTTTTGGGCTGCCACCTCATTCCGGATCTAGCCGTTTTGTGTTGCCCCACAAAAAACGGCTGTTTTCTGTCCACCATAAGATCTGATCTCAGATCCATGGCTCAAAAGAAAACCGGATTTTTCCCTCTTGCATTTTCTTTTATTTTTCCCTTTTAATTCAGATTTTGTTGAGATATGGCCCCAAGGGTCATATCTCAGCAATCCGGCCTGCGCTCCTTAGATCTAGGAGGAGGGAGGTCATCATTGGGACCTGGCAGTCCCTACCGCTGCCATGCCAATGGGCCGGCACACTCCCCCCCACACATTTCTCATATTTTGTCTCATTTTCCCTCATTTTTATCTTTTTTTTTTTTTCTTTTTCTTTTTTTTTTGCTGTGACATATGCCAACTTGCTGTGCACTATCTTTCTAGGCCTTAGAGCCTTGATTGTGGTCAGGTTTATGCCCGGCTGTTGGCCGTTACACCCCGACCCACCAAGTTGGCATGCCCATGCCCCTAGGGGGCTCATTTTCCTCCCGTTAGCCTCCATTTTGAGCCCCCTTGGCTCTGATTTTTCTTGGCTAGCCCGTCTCCTCATTGGAGCCCCTTGGGCTCTTTTTTTCTTAGGCCTAGCTTGTTCGAGATACCCCGGACTGCTGGGCAGCCCTCCCCTTATTATTTTTCTTTGCTCCTCACTTCTCATTTTTCACTCGTTTGAGCCCCTCTAGTATTTACACTAGTGGTGCTAATATTTTCCACCGTCGAGATCCTCTATCTCGGCGGTGCCGTTTGCTTCTTATGGTCATTCCCTACCTTGGCTAGTGGTTCCCCTCGGGACACCTCAAGTCCTTGCCGTTTTTCCCCATACTAGTCCCAATTTTTCGTCCCGCCGGCAGTGCCGTCGACAAAATCCATTTTTCTGACAATTTTTATTTGGGCCCCTTTGGCCCCCGGCGTCATCCCGGTTGATGCCCAATTTTTATTTGGGGTTTTATATGCCCCCTTCAGTCCCGTTTGATTCTTTCCATGTGTCTCAAGCGCCGTTGATAATTTCCCGGCCGCGGGACCCCCGCCGTGCCGTCGCCGTTTTACCGTCACACTCCCCTAGGCCTGCGGCGCCGTTCTCCAGTGTTTCGGGCATGCCGTGACCCATTTTCCCTTGGCCCACGCATCCTTATGCAGTCCGTTATTTCTCGGACTGCATCCACAGCCAATTTGCTAGCCCCACAGCCCCACGCCATACCCCATGCCTAAGAAAAATAAAGCGTTAATTTTCCTAGGGCATCCAGGCTCAATTTTGGTTTCCTGAATCCCAAAAACTTGTGTTTGCCTGTCCCTATGCAGTCCGTTGCAACTCGGACTGCAGTTGGGGCTGTTTTCATTGTTCTAGTGCCCCACAACCAACCCCCAACTGAAAGAAAATAAAACTGCCAACTCCCATGTGCATCCGGTTTCCATTTTGGCTCCCAGTGCACCTAAAACATGTGTTTGGCCTCGCCCATGCAATCCGTTATTTTCCGGTTGCAAGGGTTTTGCTTTTCTTTGATTTTCTCTGCATAAATCAAAGAAAAACAAAGGAATTTGTAACCGCCATATGCCCAAAATGAATCTGGTCCAGAATTCCCTCCCTAGGTGGCCGTTTTCGTCCGTTAGTGCCCTTTTGACTTTCTCCCTTTTACTTTTTCTTTTCTTTTCTTTTTCTTTTTTTTTTCCTTCACTTGTGGACAGTTGGAACTTGGCAGTCCCTACTTGCTGCAGTCCCAACTGACGGCCAACTCACTCATCCTCTCTCACTTCCATTTTCCTTTTCTTTTCTTTTTTTTGGTGCATGCCAAGTGTCAACTAGTCGTTAAGCCCTTTTCTCATTTTTTTTTTTTTTTCTTTTCTTTTTCCTCTTTCCTTGGACAGTTGGGACTTGGCAGTCCCTACGGACGGCCAACTCACTCACTCCCTCTCACTCTCCTTGTCTTATTTTCCCACATTTTCTTTTTCTTTTTCTTTTTCTTTTTGCATGCCAAGTGTCAACTAGCCGTTAAGGCCATTTTCTTGTCTCTTCCTCTTAGTTTTGACCCTTTCTATGCCCAAGGGCCAGTCCGTTATTTTCCAGACTGCAGTTATGGCCCTTCCATGCCCTTGGGAGCTACCGTTTGCCCCTCTCTTTTCCAAACGGTAGGCCCCCATACTCTGATTTTCCCCCGGAGGCCTATTTTTCACATGGAGTCTCTTTTGGCTCCTTTTTTTTGGGGGAGGTCAATCCGAGATTTTTCGGCTTGCTCCCATGTTTCTAGCACTTGTCTTCTTTACTTTTTATTTTTCTTTTAGCCCTCCCGTTAGCTCCCACTAGTGCTTGCACTAGTGGTGTTAATATTTTTGGTCGTCAAGATCCCCGATCTGGACGGTGTCACTTGTTTTATTTTTTTGCATTACATGTCGCGACGCGATTTTTCCTCGGGACGTCACAGTTCCCGCCACTTGTCCCGCACTGGTCCCCAACACTAGTCCCCGACACTAGTCCCCGATACTAGTCTTAGTCTCGTGTGGTCCCTGACACTTTGTCCCACCGGTACCGCATTTTTGTCTAGTCGCCTGTGGTCCCCGACACTTGTCCCATTGGTGTCGCACCTTTGCTTGGTCCCATGCAATCCCCGACACTTCATCCCGCCGGTACCATGTCTTTTCTCGATCTCACGTGGTCCCCCAACACTTCGTCTCGCCGGTGCCGTACTTTTTGTTTGGTCTCACACGGTCCCTGACACTTTGTCCCGTCGGTACCGCATCTTCTCTTGGTCTCATGTGGTCCCCGGCACTTTGTTCCGCCGGTACCGCGTCTTTTCGTGGTCTCACGCGGTCCCTGACACTTTGTCTCGCCGGTACAGTATCTTTTTTTGGTCTCACGCGGTCCCCGACACTTTGTCCCACCGGGCGTGAGTCCTCACTTGGCCCATGACCCCCTTGCTGCCGCGTCCTAGCGGCCTACTTGGCTCGGCTCGTTTTCTCATGCCGGCGCCTTACATATCATTCACCCATTTCCCTAACTTCTTTTCTCTTTTTGCAGCACACATCGTTTGCCACTACTTTTTTTCCTTGGCGGTCTTTCTCAGTTTTGGGGGAAGGGTCGCCTTCGCCACTTTCTTGCGAGCCTCCGCCGCTCCCCGTTCCGTCAATTTTCTTCTTAGTCCATTGGTTCCGACGACCTTGGGCAGCTCCTAGGTTCCTAGCGCCTATGCCTAAGCCTTGATCCTTCCATCCTTCTTGCCTCCAGTTTTCTCTGCCATGCACAAATTAGCCATATACAGTCTCTCGAGTGACGGAAGTCATTCGTGACTCACCAGTCCCGACAACGGGCTCCCATGACGCCACCTGATCTCTATCTGTTTGATCTTGCACATGATCTTGGCATGATGGTTAGCCACGCTTCGGGCGCAACAGTACGACGATAACGAAGCTCAGGTAAACATCCCCGCTCGATTAGGAGGGGAAGGTCATCATTGGTTTAGTACCTATGTATGGGTGGATCTCCCGACCTTTGAGCGAGATTTTTTAAATTGATTTGAATATGTCCATCCAGAGCAAGCGCTCTACATGATCCGAGTCATAAAACCTCTCGAGTCCATTGCAGAATACCGAAACCGGTTCTATTGAATGTTTGTGAAAACTGAGCGGGGCGAGCAAGTAGGGAGAGATCTGTTTATAGACGGACTCCGCAGCAGGACGATAAGGGCAAAACTGCGAAAATAGTTCTCCCCCATCAATCACACGCTGCAACAGATTATGACAACTGCAGAGGAGAAGGAACGGAAGTTCGCGGCGAGTTTCTTAGAAGGAGAAGACTATCCTAAGGAAGGAGACTCGTTCGAGTTTTCGAGGGCAAGGGATGAGCTGGCTGCGTTGCAAAACAAGTTTGAAAACATGGGGTTTGTATCAGGACCTGTTACCTACATGGAACAGATACCCCCCAAACGACCAGCACCTAGTGTGATTGCGGGCATGCCCGCCCTCGTGATACCAGCACCTGTAATGACGGCACCCCCACCGCCAATCGAGAATCCCGTGCGATCGAATGAATCAACCGCCATATTTGAACTGACCAAAACGCTAACTAGTCTGATCCAAAAAAACAAAAAGAAACAACGGGAGCATAATGCTAGGTTGGAAGCTATGATGAGGAATATGCGACCCATCGCGGTACGAGCCGCCCCAATCCAACAAGGATTGACCTCGATACCTGTTCTCGGGGGAGCCGCGAGAAATCTGAACGTCTGTTATGCTTGCCATCAACCAGGGCATCTGGCCCGTGATTGCCCCCACCGGCCCCCGCAACAACGGGTCGGGGTCGCACCCATAGCGGCAACCCCTATCACTAACGGACCTGGACGGGTAGGAGCCCTGATGGAGGAAATGGAAGGTGGAGGAAGCACGTTAGCTACCGCAAAAGAAGCTGTTGAGTTCATCCCGTTGGACCAATATGTGTCGCTTGGGTATTCGGGACTTGGAATGATTGGAACGATCAGACCAGAGCCGGAACAGAAAGAAGTGGCGGAGTGGCGACCTTCTCCAAGAGAGATGAAGTCGGGAGGACCCACCTTCGTCACTGGGAAAATTGATGTGTTGAACATCGTCCGAGCTTTGGACCATCGGATTCCACTTCCGATTGGCCATCTGCTCTCGATCTCTGAACAGGCTAATGAGCGGATGTTACAACAATGTAAAGCGAATCGAAAACGATTCGCCCTCGCTCGAACAACGAACGCGAAAGCTAAAAGCCCCACGCCAGACGAAAATACGGTTGGTACTTCGAATCCCATACGGGTAGGGTTAATACAGAAAGACGATCATTTCCTGCGGATTAAGCCCATCCCGTGGAAATTTGCGGAATGTGACATCGAAATATGGGGAATTTCGTACAACGTGATCATTGATTCAGGAGCTGCCGTTCTGGCTATTTCACTGCGAGTAGTTGAGAGGGAAGGAAGGAGAAACAATCAGATTATGCTTACGGAAAAGGATCAGCTCGTTTCGGCAGACGAAGAAAAGATTAAAACGGTGGGAAGAATGACCAATGTCGCTTTTCGATTACGAAAGGTGCATGCGCTGGGAGACGTCGTGGTATTAGACGTAAATACCTATGACGTTTTTTTCGGCCTTCCCTCTCTTGTAGCATTGCGAGCGAACTTGGATTTCGAGCAACGGTCAATCATCCTCCGAAATATGGGAGGAAAGCCCTATGCTGTACCTATGAGACTAACTCTTCGTACTACCATCAACGCAGTCCCGCGAGTTTCGCCAATGATAGCGGAGACTCTTCGTATGATCACCTGGGAAGACTCTGCAGATGATGAGTCATCATCAAAGGATGCGGATATCAGCGACAAAAATGATCCGGAAATTCTGAAGCTAGCACGACAGCGCATTTATTACCCGCCGCCCAGAACGATCGCAAGGACGATGCATCTAACCAGTCGGAATATCCAAAGGACCAAAGCGATGATTTTGGGTGAACCCCTCGTATAGATTTCGAGGATGGTCGACTCTTTGGAACCCCCTCAAACCCTATACGAAGGAACCTCCCCTCTCCTCGCCCGATACAACGACAAAAAGCACTACTACGATATCACAGATCTACCGAAGTCCCTGTTGACACCCGCAAAGGGAGTACGACTGTTACATCTAGGGCCGTCTCGAGGCCGAGTCAGACGAGCTCGGAGTAAAGATCGCGACTAGAACAGTACCATGGCAAGATATCTGTGATGGGATCACCCCGGAAGGACACATGGCCATCCGGGAGGAAGATGCCCAGATGACAGCCACGGTGTTCTCCTGGCAATCGGACCATTCGTTTATCTTTGCACCACTACCCGACGTGGCGAAACAATCACGCACGAAGCAGATCGACGTACGGATCTTGGATCAGCTTTTCGAATTACACGTTCCACAGTACGTACCTGATGAGATTCATTGTTTCATCGCGGACATTCTAACGGAATATCAGGGAGCAATTAGTGTAACGGACACTGACATCGGCTTGTCGTTGGTCATTCAACATGAAATTCAGACGGGAAATCATTCCCCTATCCACTGCAAGCCCTACCGATGCTCCTTGATAGAACGGAAAAAAGGCTCTCGAACGAATTCGGGAATTAGAAGCAAGCGGGTGGATCGAACCCGTCACCGGACCATGTTCGTTCCCAGTAGTGTTAGTACTGAAGAAGAACGGATCAATCCACATATGCATCGATTATCGCAAATTGAATGAAATTACGATTAAAGATGTGTATCCCCTCCCCCGGATTGATGATTTGCTGGATGCGATTGGACGTGCTAATTATTCGACATGGCTTCCATCACATTCTTGTTAAGGAGGAAGATCGACCAAAGACGGTTTTCGTATTGTTTGAAGGCACGTGGCAGTGGGTTCGGTGTCCGATGGGAATCCGTAATGCGCCGGCCACATTCCAACGAGCAATGAACGTGCCGTTCCAGAACTTCGTCAACAAGACTCGACTAACTCAGGGAATGATCAACTTCTGCGTGATCGTATACATGGACGATATTCTTGTCTACTCGGAGACCTATCACGGACATGCGCAACACATCGAATGGACATTGGGAGCGCTGAGAAACGCTAGATTCAAGATCGCGCTCCAAAAGAGCGAATTTTTCCTCTCAGAAATTTCATTCTTGGGGTACGTGGTGACATGTGGAGGACTGCGACCGGATTCCAGGAAAGTCGCGGCTGTGAAAGAAGCCCCAGTTCCCACGTCGCTGACGCAGGTTCGAGCCTTCTTAGGCCTGGCATCGTACTACCGTCGTTTTATCAAGGGTTTTGCGGCAATTGCTCGGCCTCTCACGAACATGCTTCGCAAGGACCAGCCTCTGCAGTTGGACTCTGAGTGTGGACAAACCTTTGATGCACTCAAAGAGGCCCTGGTCACTGCACCTGTTTTGATCCGACCGGACCCTTCCAAGCAATTTATTCTTATAATGGACTGGCAACCGGAAGCGATCTCCGCCATTTTGGCACAGAAGGGGAACGATGGTCACGAACACGTCATCGAGTACGCGTCACGAACAGTGTTGGACGAACGAAGGAATGATTCAACACTTTTAAGGCGAATGCTATGCAGTAGTCTGGGGAATCTAGCACTTCCATCTATATCTTTACGGACAGAAGTTCCGCCTCATGACGGATCATGAGCCCCTGCTAGCTTTGAAGAAGCTCACTAATTACACGAGCATGATTGGACGCTGGGCGGTACGACTACAGGAGTACGACTTCGACATCATCCACCGGAAGACAGAGAGACACGGCAACGCGGACGGACTGACACGTCTGCATCAGCCCGCTAAAGTACCTAAGGGCAAGGAAATCACTCCGTGGAAGAAGTCAGAATCGGCAAACGGGCCTAAGTACGGACAAGTGGCAGTTCTCCCACGTGGCAAGAAGCAGGCCGGTGGCGATGGGTGACGGAGGTAACCCCACTACCCCTCTTTCTCCCCTCTCCTCCTCATCTCTTCTCTCTCTGCCTGATAAATTTTGCTATTTTTGCGAAGCAATTTCTCGCGTATATTCGGTCTCCATGTGTCCTAACGGGGAAGGGTATGCGAAATGGATAGATTGTCGACAGTGTGTCGCACGAGCCCATGGCTCGTGCATCCAATACAGGAATGACAGCAAGCCGTGGCTGTGTCCCTTGTGTCGGGTCGACAAGATCCCGACCGAGGCTCGCTTTTTGGATGCCTCGTCAGAAGGGTTGGAAAGAACCCGGAAGTTTAGAACGGCTGAAGTATGGACCGATATCGCTTTGATTGCCACCTTAGTGGGTAACCCCCTCCAGGATTTCACCAAGTAGAATCGAAGGAGGGCTAATGAAAGGGCTCGGGATTATCGATGGGTCGAGGGTAGGTTAGAGAAACGGAAAACGGACGGTAGTGGGATTTGGATGGTTGTACCGCACCCGTTCATGAGGTATGACTTGGTGAAGACATCATACGAAGAAACGACAGTCCATTTTGCCGTACGGATTACAGAGTCAGCAATCGACAAAAATGAATGGTACTGGTCCAATATTCGGGACGATGTGAAATTCATCGTCGCAAACTGTCAAGTCTGCGCTGCTGACAAGGCGTCGATCCAGCCGCCGAGATCGATAGTACCAACGGTAGTCGAGCGACCGTTTCAAAGGGTGAGTATGGATACAACCGATATCGTGGTACCCCCTGGTCCTAATAGTTGTGAATATTCAGTCCTGTTGGTATTTGTCGACCATTTTTTGAAATGGATCGAGGCCTATCCGTGTCGCACGCAACAAGCCGCCGAAATCGCGCGGTATGTTAACCGTTTTCTCGGGATGCACCAGGATACGAAAGAAATCCTGACCAACAACGGGGCAAAATTCAGAGGGGAAGTATTAAGGAACTTGGTCATACACGGTGTCGCTGTGCAAAATATCGCACCCCACATGTCACAATCCAATGGGCTGGTAGAGAACGAAAATAGGGTGATAAAGACAGCACTGCGACGAAACATCACAGCATGAGATCCGAGGTCTTGGCCTGATATCGTCGATCACATCTTGGTGGTCCATTGCGGAACGCCCCACGAATCAACGGGCCTGATCCCCTTCCAGCTGAGGACCAATAGCGTCGCTTGCGTTTCGATACCGAGCCTCCCTGATGAATCAACGATGAACCGACGGCCCACAAGGGCCACGGTTCGAGACAAGGCCAAGCGACACTTAGAACTAATAGAACGGTCCCTTCCCAGGCTAGCCCGAAAACGCTAGAAAATTACCGAGTTGGCCCACGGCCGACAGGTCCGAAGCTACGAGGCCTGGAACGAGAACGCAGGTCCATGGCCCCAGTACAAATTGGGGGACATCGTGCAGGTGAGGAAATGTGCTCGCCAGGGTAAGCTAGCGCCACGATTCTTCGGGCGATTCCGCGTGATTGAGCTCGGACCAAACGGCGTGAACACCGTGCGGCTTGTGTCTGAGGTCTCTGGCAGCCGATCGGCTCGTCTGATCATCCGCCACGTGTCCCACCATCGTCCCCTTCCTCCTTCCCTATCTTCGCCTTCATCTAATTCCTCCTCTGCTGCGGAAGAGGATGACGACTGCTTACGCCTGTCTCTCCGTCTCCTTTTCGTTTTCCTTCTGTTACTCCGTACCCGCCACCATCGCCATGAGCTTTGCAATGGAGCAAGTGATCGGTGCGTGGCTGCTTACTCTGAGGGGCCGAATCAGCGTCATCCGGCAAGTGCAACGACCCCATCTCTGCACTGATTTCCTGCGGTTCGCAGCCTTCTTCAGCACGGCGGCGATCCACGCGGCGACGGAGATCCGATTTACGGAAGCGGCCTCTACGCGTGTTCTGGCCGAGATCTCGACCTTTCGACGACTGTCCCCTCCCGGGATCAGCCACGTCACTGTCGTCATCGTCTTCAAGGGGGACATCACGGAGGTACCCTCGACGATTCATCCTGACATCTATCGGACTCTGCGCGCCTGGGACGAGGAAGTACGCACGGCGTGGACGACACTCCTTGCTCATTGGGGAGATACCATCTTGCCCGCACACGACACCGACTTTCAGCTCCATTCATCCCGCAGGTCGCCGGCGATCGTACTACCGGAGCTTCGTCCCTTTGTGCTGCCCCAATGAGTCGTCACCGCCTGTCCTACTTCGGCTTTCCCTCCAGCATCCCCACTCTTTGGCAGTCCGCGCGGGCCCCCACTCTCTCCTATCGTGTCAAGGAGACCAGCGCGCCTCTATTGAGCGAAGAAAAGTGGGACGCGTGGTGGGAAGACTACACTGAACTCGTCTTTTGCTTGTTGGAGAAAGAGTTCCGCAGGTCAGAATCGGCCCCATTCGAAGAAGGGCCAGAGCACCCAGAAGACAGTGTGGAGCTCCTAATCATCCAGGCCTGGGGGACGGCAGAGGAGGGCGATCTGCTGGGGATCGTATTTGGAAAGGTGGAGGAAGGAGGTCTCGTCTTGATCACGAGCGAGCTGTTGGTGTTCTTGACCCAGCTGGTGGATGATCTGCACCTAGACATCTTGGCTCGGTGCGACGAGCAGCCCGACACCGACGTGTTGACTCGGACGCTCGAACCGCACTTAGTGTGGTCCACGTGTACGGAGATTGACGAGGACAACTGTCTCTATCCCTCCTAGGCGCTCTATTCGGAGATTGACGTCATTGATCTCACGTTCTGGGACCCAATCGCGGGGAGAAACGCTGTCGAGCGCATCGGTCGCGCACAGGGACCCTCCCGGCAGCGTCACGCAGGATTTTGCAGGACTTGTCGCGGAGAGTGTTTGCCGCTCCGGCCGAGTGCGCCAACCGTACCTCTCACGAGCCCCTACGACAGAACAGGGTCACGCGAGGCACCGCTTACCTCCACCTGAGGGAGCTGTCACCATCCCTTAGGTGGGCGTATCCCCGCCGAGCTACTGAACCACATGCGAAAGTTTTTCGTATGCAATTGCTGAGGTGGCCCAACCGAGGGCGTTTCTCGTTCGCTATAGCATAGGGGTTACGAGTGGTCGAACACCCAAAAATCGAACCCTCACGCGAATCGACGTTCTGGGGGGCTGACGCCCCAAACGCGACTCGACGTCGGTCGACCAGGATGCATCCACACGTTACACCACAACACTCACATCTACCCATACGCAACATGTGGGAACACACAAACAAACATTACAATCAACACCACAACACAGCAACACTCCTAGTCCCTTCAGTATCCGACCCATAATTTTATGTCGCGAGACTCAGATAGGTATCGCGCGCTGGACTTTCGTATAAGAGTCGTGCGAGCGTATGGCCTCCTCATATCGACCAGCTATGTGTGCATACGCGAGCACTCGCGCTGCTGGGGTACTACGTGGTACTCGTAACCGCGCGGCCCTTGATAATCTCGAGGGTCGTGCTCGACACTCAAGTGTCGGCTGGCAAGCGCGTTGAGGAGTGTCCCTCTCGACGCTAGACAACCACCATGCGCGGTTGAAGACCACACCCTCTTCTGCACCCTGTGCAGAGGGGTTGAGTAGAAAGCTCCAAGGCTGTCGTGGTAGCTGAAATCAAGGGGTTTGACTTTGACGGCCACCACGGACTACAACGTCCAACCATGAAAACTTAAAAGAGGAAACAACTGCAGATAGAAAGGGAAGATCATCCCCTTTCTTTTCTTTGTCTAGCCCATAGCCTGATTGCCGTCTCAAATAGACGGGGGAAGGCCAACACAAGAGATGCGTGCGGATGGTGCCCAAAATCAGGCCCATAGGCAACCCGACGTTCGAGGCGTTGGAGGCTCGTACGCGGATCCCCATAGGCCGACTAGGACTGATACCTCACCCACGCGTCGTTTCGTGCTACCGAAACTCAGGTCCACTGGCCATAACGCGCTTTTGCCCTCTTCGCTTGACCCATAACTTTCGTGCGCGAAAATCGGTAAGTACCGCGCGTGTGGGTTAACATAAAACCGCGCGGACGCAGGGCCTACACATACCGATAAACAATGCGGACTTGCGTAAGTAGTCGTGATGACGGCGCATTATGATGTGCCCATACCCGAGTGGTCTCATTTGAGCCATGGGGTCGCTCTCGACGCTCATGCGTCGGCTGAAGTGCGCGCTAAGGGGGGTAAAACTTTAGCGAGCGCAAACCCGGCCTGATGGCCTTACCATCTTCTGCACCCTGAGGTGCTCCAAAGGGCGCGGGGTGAGATGGTCCCTAGGGCAGGAAGGAGCTTGGAGCGGTGGTGAGTTGTCTGGCGCATCATCAGTGACACACTAATCCTTCCGCCCGGAACTTTATCGTTCCACCAAAATAATCTACAACAAGGAAAATGAAAAAGAGCACTTGATATTGGCAGGGGGACACATGAACGCCCCGCCGGACCGAGTAGCTGGGGGACAGCCCCTCGTCCTCGCGGCGCTTCTGTTTCCCCGGGTCAGCGTCGTGCGAGCAAGTAAATCAGCGTCCTGTTCAAGGACCTCCTTCAGGCCTGGGACCAACGTCCGACCAGATAAGATGTTTGAGTAGGGAAAAACGTAAGCGTGTGGTCGCATAGCCTTTTGAGGGTTACCCGAGCGTACGCTTACTCTGACTATCACATTATCGGGGTGGGAAAAAAACAATCTCACTCAAACAAAAGTTGTGGGGTAGTTCACTCTCACGACAGTTGTGTGGTTTGCCTATCTGAATCCAAACATAATCACTTAACAAGACTCAATCGAGATTCTTTCATACATACCTGCAATCATACGCTCCACATTCAAACGACATCACACACGATAAAGGGGTCAACTTTTTAGCCTTCTGCTGCTCACACCCTGCCTTATGCACACAAGCCCAACCATTTCCCCACCAATCCTCAACAAAGGTACTCAGTCTTTCAAAAATGGGCATTTATAAAGAAACTGGGTGAAAATCCAAAGAAACACACAAATCCTGGCAAGGGCCAATGCCTTAGGTTGAGAGGCAGGAGGAATAGGAAAGTTGAGTCGTACACCGACGAATCGGCCACCGACCTATTATCAGTGATAACAGAAGATTGATCCTTTTGAAGAATCAGACTGATCAGATCAAGCCTTCAGGCGAAATATGGAAACCTGCATCACAGTACAGGCAAAAAAGAACCACTACTATGTTCATGCCAAAAAAGGATAATACTCCCTAAGTCGTGGCCTAGTTCCTCTACTAACCTCGCTGTCGATTCTCCTCACTGGTACCAAGTCGTTGTGTATCTCCCCTAGGAAAAGTGTCTTTTCATAATTTCTACGAGTCAAAAAATGACTAACTCTTTCATATTTGCAGAAACTTTGGCAGCGCTTCTCGTAGGAACAGGAGGTTGTCAAGATTTATACAAAGCTGAAAGACAGAAGACAAAGCAAGCTATACTTGAGACTATCTTTTGATACCTGTTTGATGATTTAGAATCCGTGACAGCCCGCACGACCTCTAGATGAGAGTGTGGCTAACCCTGATCCTAACTCCTAGCAGGGTCAGTCCAACCTTCATCCCAAGTTCTCCCTCCCATCATCCATCTCATCTACCTATGGCTCCAGCACTTGGCGAACATCTAAAGCATCTAGCCTATCGAAAAAACGCCCTAGAGTGAGAGCCCACAAGCATGCATAAACAAACATCTCTCACAATCCCACATAAGTTTGACCCAAGTAGTTCGTTAGATCACTCAGTTCTTTTTCCTCCCCTTGCCTATAGCATAGGATCAGACAATGCCCTAACTTAAGGGTATGTCCAACCTGCCTAAATAAACAAGTAAAAGTACGTACAACTGGACTGCCCTAACTTAAGGGTATGCCCAACACCACACGAACTCTAGTCATAAAACATATAACCAGACCGCCCTAACTTAAGGGTATGTCTAGCTTCTGCTTAACTTACGACATAAAGCATAAACTAGACTGCCCTAACTTAAGGGTATGCCTAGTCATCTCGAGACAAGGTTACATATGGCATAGGATTAGGCTGCCCCAACTTAGGGGTGTGCCTAACCTGCCTAAAACAAGTACGAACGATGAATGGTCAGACCGCACTAACTTAAGGGTACGTCCAACCTACATAACATCAACGACAAGAGCATATCACTAGGCCGCCCTAACTTAAGGGTACGCCTAGCTAGCTTAAACAGGTTTAGGTACATAAGACAATATGACCAGGCCGCCCTAACTTAAGGGTACGCCTGATCTGCTTGAACAAAGTACAAACGACGTATGACTAAGCCGCCCTAACTTAAGGGTACGCTTAGTTTCCGTAACGACAATATACGAGAACAACCATTGGTGTACTTGTACAAACTTTATATCTTTCTTTCTTATCAGGCAGATGATCAAACCTACCCGACTTAGGGAGACATCCAATCCTGCCTTGTGTTTAGAAGGGAAAATACAAGAAGATTTATACTAACTCTCTGCAACTTTGAATTATTACGAGCATAAGACTGAACCGCCATAACTTAAGGGTACGCCCAGCCTGCCCGAATTACCTTTATTATACTCTTTATTTGTTTTTCTTTTCTTCTTGTTCTACCTGACTTACTGACTGGCTTTCCCAACTTAGGGTGCCCGGTCTGCCAGATGGTATAGGTTCGTATAATATATATCAAAATTTTATACCTTGGTTGACCATAGTGTTCATGGCTTATGACTGAGCCGCCCTAACTTAAGGGTACGCTCATCCTTATGCCTTTGTTCCCCTCAGAAGAAAACACACACAGAACTGGGTCTACGCAACTTAGAATATCCCCAGTCCTGTTTTTCAGCAACCCACAAAAGAAACATTAGGATTCTGAGTCCTCCCAACTTAGGGTGCTCATCCTCCTGTTCAGAAACCCCAGAAAGAAACAGCGACTGGTCCGTCCAACTTAGGATAGGCCTAGCCCCCAAAATCATACAGTCAGCCCAGCCAACATAAATAAAACATAGCACTGCGCCCACATCAACTTAGAGGAGCTCGGCCTTGGGTTGACCAAGTCAAAAGTATGCAAACGCCTTCCTCCCACCTTCCCCCAATTCATTTTGCCTGAATTCACTCAAAGTAAAAGTCTGATTTCTCACATACAATTGTTGATTTATCTTTCACAATGCATGTTTTGACATACATATCAAAAAAGAGTAATATCCTTACATGGTTGTATTCAGATACCTAGGGGATAACAAATAGGGGAAGGGATCACACACGTCAAACGAAATTATACCTGAAGTTCCCTACCTCCAAATCCCCGCCTGGGTTCCGGCAGAGCTCCCGCAATCGGTGGGTGAACCTCCCACAAGGTCTTGCTGCGGTCCTACGGGTTGCAATCCCACCTGCCACCTTCCTCTCGTAACCTCAGACTAGACTTAGAGGAAGAAGGATAGAAGGAGAAAGTTCAGACTCTCGAGATTCAAGGGTGGGACACTCAACTCACAATGAGAGGCCCTTGAAGTCTGGAATCTCCTAAGGGCCCCGCAATGATGGTCAGGGAAACGCAACAAAAGCACTCCACTCACCGCCAAAACTCAGGGTAACAGTTCCTCGACAGCCTTTACAATTGCAGCACTAACCCCCTTGCAGAAGTTTCATCCATCCCCTTGTCTGACGGCGTCCATTTTTTTTTCTAATGCTGTTGCCCCACCCAACGAGGAACAGCGTCCCGTTCAGCAGTAGTGCCCTAGTTACTACCGCAGCTCCTTCTACAGCATCATCTCAACACGGATAACCAGGACTATGCGCAGCAGCATGCTTAGCCAC